TGGATGTGGTATTCTATGTGACAGAATAGGCGGCATGAGGGGGCGCTTTGGCTGTACACTGTGGTACAATGGTTGCCTTGAGGTAAAGTTCATCTGTGAACAAATCTTCATGGAATACTATTTTTGCCCAAAAGAACAACTGATGGATTATTATGATTCAATATTGTGATTAATGTTTTCTAAAAAATGAGGTGAGCCTCTAATTTTATGATAAACAACTGACGTGTTTGTTGCCAGTGATAACAAATTCCTGGCTTTTAGTGAAACTGATTTCTAAAAACTTGATTCTGCCACTGTGAGTATGACAGCATTCAAAACTTAAGCTTCCCCCAGTGAATTCAGGGATGATATCAATGTTTTTTTTTTTATGCTGCATAAAACGTGAGAACATTTTGAATGTTTTTATAACTCAGTGAACTGATATTTTCCAAATACTGTATTATAAGAGGGGTCAAATATCCATTCAAAGTATAGATTTAACCAAACAGCATGTAAAAAGTCATTGAGATGCTTTCAGATTCCATACTGCATTAACCTTAAAGAAACTACCATCTGTAGAGTTTTGGTACATTCAAGGAATCCACATAATTATCAGAAAAGATTATTACAACATTCCTTCCTTTTCCAGCTAAACATCCCTCACTTTCACCCGCAGAGCTGCATTTTTGTCAAATACTTTAACTAGGAAAATGTCAGCACAGACTGAAAGAGGAAGCGCACGTGGGGAATGGACTGCCGCCTACTAAGCCAGAGAGCAAAGAGATGGGCGGAAGTCTATGGCGATAGCCTTTCTTCTCATGGAACTGAAGTCTTAGAAAATAGTTCTTTTTCATCAAAACATGTTATTTATAGTAGGACAAATTAATTTATTATTCTTATTTTAAGTAAATTAGCAAACACTTTAAGATAAAAATATAACTGACTATTTAAAGCAAAATGGATAACAATGCATCTAAGCATTTACAACATTAAAAAGAAGCACCTGACTATAATTATAGAAAGGAAAGGGAGAAATGGGAGAACCTTGCTTTATGTGAAATGAAGTAACAATATTTGGAAGCAAACTCTAAAGTAAATTTCATGCTGGGACCAGTAAGATGACTCAAATCTGATGACTTCAGGTCAAGCCCTGGGATACACATGGTGGGAGGAAGAGAACAGACTTCCCTAACTTGTCCCCTGACTTTCACATGTGCCTGCACCCTGACATATGCACCCCCCCCGCAAACACCCCCACCTCCGCACACACCTAAATAAAATAGAAAATTATGATAGAAAAGCCAAGTCAACTATAAAAAGTCAAGCCAAATTCTAGCTAGTAAGCAAGTAACGAGGGAAAAAATCCTAAAAAAGTATTTAGCTTTATATCCATCTTTCTGCTTGTTTTCTATTTGTCTCATCTGTTCTTTGTCCCTTTCTTTTGAATTAAGCTTAGTAGGCACAAATGTCCTAGGTTCCATGTCTAGCACCACACAGCAAAACAAAACAAACAAAAACTCCCAGATCATTTGATTCAAAAGAAAGGGACAGAGCCAGGTGTGTTGGTGCATGCCTTTAATGTTATGCTGGGATTAAAGGCATAAGGATCAAAGGAGGCAGAGGTAGGTAAGTTCGAGGCCAGCCTAGTCTACAGAGTGAATTCCAGGACAGGCTCCAAAGCTACAGAGAAACCCTGTCTTGAAAAAACAAACAAACAAACAAAAAAAAAAACAAAAAAAAAAAAAGAAGAAGAAGGAGAAGAAGAATAAATCGTGAACTCTAAAATCATGGTTGGAAATTTCAGCTCTCTCAGCAATTGACAGAAGAAACAATAACAATTAGTAGTGTTAATAGAACATGCAAGCCATACTCTCAGTCAATATGACTTAGTTAATAAAGATGGAAATTTCATTCAATTACAGCAGACCAAATATTCTTTACAGATTTTTATAGTAAACATTTTCTAAGATAAATCATTTGCAGCCTATAAAATTTTCCCATAAACATAAAAGGATTGAAATGATGCAGAGAGTATGTTCTCTGGTAAAAACTAAATTAAATAAAAATAAAAATAGGGGCTAGAGAGACGGCTGAGTGGCTATCAACGCTTGTTGCTCTTGTGGAGGACCTGGTTTCAGATCTTAGCACAGGAGGATCTGGGTGATTGTTGGGAGAATGTGACTCCTCGTAACATAAGAAGCTGTACCCAAAAAGTGTCACCAACATGACTGTCCAAACATGAGCTGAACAACAACAGATGTGCTAAAATGGAGGTGGAAAGACCACAAGGCCTCAGCCCTACGCAAAGAACTACATACAGGCAACTACGGAAAGCTGAGAGCAGGAGAAATCGTCTTCCCCAGGGAAGTGCACACCAATTGCTTATCCAATCCCAAATGGTCAGTCCTGAAAATATACATACAAGTGACATTGTACAGACTGAGCAGGTTATATTTAGGAATATATGTATATATACACATATACATGTAACAAGAATTAATGAAAAATACAGGCAACGTATTTGAAAGAAAACAAGGGTGGTATATGGAAGGATTTGAGGGGGAAAAAGGGGGAGGGGGAAATGTAATTATATTACAATTCCAAAAATAACTATATAGAAAAGCTTTTAAATATTTGAGAGTTAACTAAAAATAAAGCCTCTATATTTTAAACTAAGTCATATGTTAAAGAGAAAATATTTTGCATCACAATTTGTGAGAAGCAGCTAAATTGGTGCTTACACAGAAATCTGTAGCTCAAAATGCTCATATTGGTCAAAAGCATTAAAAATCAATGAGCTAAATTTTGTTTTTGAGACAGAGTCTCACTATCTAACCTGCTCTGAAGCTTGCTGTATAGACCAGGCTGACCTCAAACTCAAAGAGATCCATTTGCCCTGCCTCCCAAGTGCTGGAATTAAAGGCATGTACCATCCCACCTGGCCCAATGAGCTACGTTTCTATCATAAGAAACTAGAAAAAGTACTAAGAACAATACAAAAAGACAAGGGAGAAAATAACAGAATTAAGAAAATTGAAAAGAAAAATGAAGTCTATGAAATGAAAAGCTAGTTCTCTGAAAAAAGCACAAGCATTACAACCCTGACATTTTGACACACACCTGTAATTTCACCACTCAGGAGGGGGTGGTAGGAAGGTCAAGAATTCCTCAGCTACATAGCAGGTTATATGTTATCCTGGGCTATGTGTAGCCTTGTCACTCACAAACACAAAAGCAAAAGCTGGTGGATAATTCAGTTGGCAAACAGCTTGTCAGGCAAGCATGACGACTTAAGTTTGATTTCCAGCACCTATGTAAAAGTCAGTGTTGTAAGGAAACTTAGCAAACATTTTGTTTACTTATAATGATTTTAATATAGCTTGCCAGATTGTGATATTGTTAGAGATTCAGAGAAATTTACCACTGAAGAGAGTCACTTGTTTTTTTACAGCTGTTATCAGTGGAAGGTAAAGACATTTACAATAAACAGAGTACAAGAATATATTAAAAGCATACTTCCTATACATGTATAGTTCAAATAATGAGGCGACGATATTTTTGCTGTCATTTTTAGAGAGAATCTAACAATAATTCTGTGGAAAACATGGAAAGACAGGGGTAGTCAAATTTAATTTTGGAAAATGTAAGAGAGTGGTGAATGAAAATATTTTTAAAATCTAAAAAAAAAGTATACTTCCTTTGTTGTTGTTTTTGGTTTTTTTTTCCCATGTAGATTAGATCTATGTAAGTCTCTCTTAGGTTCCTCACTGTTGTCTAGGTTCTCTGGGATTGTGATTTGTAGGCTGGTTTTCTTTGCTTTATGTTTTAAAAATGTATGAGTGAGTACATATGATAATTCTTTCTGGGTTTGGGTTACCTCACTCAAAATAATGGTTTCTAGCTCCGTGCATTTGCTTGCAAATTTCAAGCTGTTGTTACTTTTTTCTGCTGTGTAGTACTCCATTGCGTAAATGGACCACATTTTCCTTATCCATTCCTCAGTTGAGGGGCATTTAGAACAACAAGAGTTCTTAACTGCTGAGCCATCTCTCCAGTACATAAAATGAATTTTTTAAAATATTTATGTAATAGAAAGCTATAGTTCCCCATAGTTGATTTAATACAGATGATTTATCATACAAATATTTGTGCCTTTAAAATCTTAAACATTCAACACATATAATATAAATATATATCAAATTTCAAAAAAAAATAAAATTAAAAAAAAAGTTAGTGTTGTAAAAGTTCAGTGTAAAAGTCACTGAAAAGTCAGTGTTGGGGAGTGTGAGACAATAGTATCTCTGGGGCTTGCTGGCCAGATGTCCTAGCCAATCAGTTAGTCCCAGCTTCACAGAGAGACCCTGTCTCAAAAAAAATATGGTGGAAAGTGAATGGGAAAGACAGCTAACACCAAACTCCCACTTTCACACATGTGTATCTACACTCACATGTGTGCACATACACACTGTACACATACACAAAAGAAAAAGGGAAAACTACACTTCAGGGTTCTTGATAGACCATGAGTTAAGATAATAATAAAAAATGGAAGTAACCAATACATCAAATGAGAGAAGAGGCATCTGTACAGCTCCGTAGAAGTTAAAAATAATGAGTAAAGGAATAAATTTCTTGAAAGACAAATCGCCAATGTGGAATCAAGAAATCATCATCAATCTTATAAAACATTACAAACCAAAACTTTCTCATAAAGAAAAGTCTAGGTTCAAAGGTTTTCAAAACCAGTGAATTCTATTAAACAGTTTAGAAGGCCATAATATCCATCCTACAAAACTCTTTCAGAAATAAAAAGATGAGGTGAAAGTTTTTTAAGTAATGTTTTTAAGATAACCATTATTCTGATATCAAAACCAAATATATATATTGCAAGAAAACAATAGGCCAACATTCCTCATCAAGACACAATAATGAGGCCTGAGGCAGCAAACTCCACAGGAGCTGGACTGAATCAGTGACTGGGGCTGGCCTGGGAAGGTGAACTCCACAGGAACAGGGGCGGATCCAGACCAGGGACATTTGCGGAAGCAGGACTGGGTCAGCAACCTAGTTCTGAGTGGGCCTGAGGCAGTAAGCTCCATGGGAATGGGACTGAGCTGGTGACTCAGGCCAGAGCAGACCTGAGACTGCGAGTTCCAGGGGAGCGGATCCAGATCTGGGACATTTGCAGAGGCAGGACTGAGACAGCGACCTTCGCCAGAGCAGGTACAGAGGGGCAGCCAGGGCCAGAGACCTCTGTGGGTCCAGGTATGAGTCTGAGACTTCTGAGGGAGTAGGCCTAAGTCAGGACCTCTGCGGGTCTGGGCGTTGGTCTGGGATCTCCAAGGGAGTAGGCAGGAACCAGAAACCACTGCAGGTCCAGGTATGAGTCTGGGACCTCTGAGGTCCCTGAGCCAGGACCTCTGCAGGTTCAGGCACACTCAAATCTGGGACCTCCAGGGAGTAGATCAGAGCCAGAGATCTTTGTGGAACCAACCTCAAGACAGGGACTTCCGCAGGAGCAGATCTAGACCAGGGACATTTACAGAAACAGGACTGAGCCGGCAACCTAGGCCAGAGCAGGCAAACCTCAGGAGCATGAAGCGACCTCCAGGACACGGAGTGACCAATGAGGTGACTGGAACTGTGGCACTGACTGCACCACGAGGAGCAACCATCTGAGCCTTGGATCCATCCACTGGCACCTGGAAGATTGATCACCAGAGTCACAGTCAGCCCCAACCACACCAATCATAGGAAAAGATGGGTAGACAAGGTCAGAACACATGCAACACCACAAAGAGCAACACGACACCAGGAAAAACTAATGGCCCTTCAAAAGCAACACTTGAACAACCAAATATAGATGAAGCAGAAGAAAATGATCTTAAATAACTTTAGGAGAATGTTTGAGGCCCTTAAAGAGGAAATAAAAAATTCCCTCAAAGAAATGGAGGAAAAAACAAACAAAAAAAATGGAAGGCATCAACAAATCCCTTAAAGAAAACAAACAAACAAATAAAGCAATGAAACATATGAAAGAAACTATTTAAGACTTGAAAGCCGAAATAGAGACAAGAAAAAAAAAACACAAGCTAGGGGAATTATAGAAACAGAAATCATGAGAAAATGATCAGGAACCACAAACACAAGCATTAACAGCATAATACAAGAAATGGAAGGGAGAATCTCAAATGCTAAAGATACACTACAGAAAATAGACTCAGCAGTCAAAGAAAACATTGAATCTAAAAAAACTTAACATAAAATATCCAGGAAATATGGGACACCATGAAAAGACCAAACCTAAGAATAATAGGTATAGAAGAAGGAGAAGAAGTTCAACTCAAAAGCACAGAAAATATATTTAACAAAATTATAGAAGAAAACTTTCCCAACCTAAAGAAAGATATGCCAATGAAGATACAAGACACTTACAGAACACCAAACAGACTGGATCAAAAAAAAAAGTCTCCTCGCCAGATAATAATCAAAATACTAAACATACAGAATAAAGAAAGAATATTAAGAGCTGCAAAAAAAAAGGCCAAGTAACATATAAAGGCAGACCTATGAGAATTACACCTGACTTCTCAATGGAAACAATGAAAGCCAGAAGGTCCTGGTCAAGCGTTATGCAGACATTAAGAGACCATGAATGCCAACCCAGATTACTATATCCAGAAAAGCTTTCAATTACCATAGAAGGACAAAAGAAGATATTCCATGACAAAACCAGATTTAACCAATATCTAGCTACAAACCCAGCCCTAGACAAAGTACTAGAAGGAAAACTTCAACCCAAGAAAGTTGGATAGATCAACCAAAACATAAACAATTGATCTCATAGCAGTAAATCCCAAAGAAGGGAAAAGCATACAAATTAACATCACCAACAACAAAAACTAAATTAACAGGAGATAGCAATCACTGGTCATTAATATCCCTTAATATAAATAGACTCAACTCACCTATAAAAAGTCATAGGATAACAGATTGGATATGAAAACAGAATTCATCCTTCTGCTGCATACAAGAAACACACCTCAACCTCAAAGACAGAAATTGCTTCAGAGTAAAGGGTTGGGAAAAAGTTTTCCAATCTAATGGTCCTAAGAAACAAGCTGGTGTAGCTATCCTAGTATCTAACAAAATGGGCTTCAAACTAAAATCAATCAAAAGAGACAAATAAGGACATTTCATATTAGTCATAAGAAAAATCTATCAAGAGGAAATCTCAATACTGAACATCTATGCCCCCAATACAAGGGCACCCTCATATGTAAAAGAAACACTTCTAAAGCTTTAATCATACATTAAACCCCACAAACTAATAGTGGGAGACTTCAACGCTCTACTCTCACCCCTGGACAAGTCAGTCAGACAAAAAATGAACAGAGAAACAAGGGAATTAACAGATGTTAAAACTCAAATGGACTTAACAGACATCTATAGAATATTCCACCCAAATATAAAAGAATATACCTTCTTCTCAGAACCTCATGGAACTTTCTGAGAAATTGACCACATACTTGCTAACAAAACAAACCTCAACAGATACAAAAAAAAAACCCCAAAACTGGAATAACCCCATGTATCTTATCGGCTTAAAACTAGAATTCAACAGCAACACTAATTCCAGAAAGCCCACAAACACATAAAAATTAAACAATGTTCACTTGAAGCATCAATGGGTCAAGGAAGAAATAAAGGGAGAAATTAAAGACTTCCTAAAATTCAATGAAAATGACCCCACAACATACCCAAATTTATGGGACACAATGAAAGCAGTGTTAAGAGGAAAGTTCATAGCACTAAATGGCTACATAAGGAAGCTGAAAAAAATCCCACACTAGTGAATTAACAGAACGTTTGAAAATTTTAGAACAAAAAGGAGCAAACTTACCCAAGAGAACTAGACGGCAGGAAATAGTCAAATTGAGAGCTGAAATCAACAAAATAGAAAGAAAGAAAACAAAACAAAGAATCAATGAGACAAAGAGTTGGTTCTTCAAGAAAATCAACAAAATAGACAAACCTTTATTCAAACTAACCAAAAGGCAGAGAGAGAATATCCAAATTAACAAAATCAGAAATGAAAAGGGGGACATAACAACAAACACGAAGGAAATCCAGACAGTCATTAGTTCATATTTAAAAAACCTGTACTCCACAAAATTGGAAAACTTAAAGGAAATAAAAAAAACTTTCTGGATAATTTTCAGTTACCAAAATTAAATCAAGACCAGATAAGCAAATCAAATAGACCTATAACTGCCAAAGAAATAGAAACAGTCATCAAAAGTCTCCCAGCCATTTTGGACCAGATAGTTTCAGCTCAGAATTCTACAAAATTTTCAAAGAAAAACTAATACCAATACTCCTCAAATTGTTCCACACAATAGAAACAGAAGGAACATTGCCAAACTCTTTTTATGAGGCTACAATTATCCTGATACCCAAACCACATAAAGAAATTACTAAGAAAGAGAATTACAGACCAATCTCACTCATGAACATTGATGCAAAAATACAAAATAAAATACTGACAAACTGATTCCAAGAACACATCAGAACCATCATCCACCATGATCAAGTCAGCTTCATCCCAGAGATGTGGGGATAGTTCATCATACGAAAATCTGTCAAAGTAATCCACCATATAAACAAACTGAAAAATAAAAACCACATGATCATCTCATAAGATGCTGCAAAAGCTTTTGACAAAATACAACATCCCTTCATGATTAAGGTCTTGGAGAGAGCAGGGATACAAGGAACATACCTAAACATAATAAAGGCAATATACTGCAAGCCAACAGCCAACATCAATCTAAATGGAGAGAAACTCACAGAGATCCCACTGAAATCAGGAACAAGACAAGGTTGTCCTCTCTCTCCATATCTATTCAATATAGTTCTTGAGGTCCTAGCTAGAGCAATAAGACTACAAAAGGAGATCAAGGGGATACAAATCGGAAAAGAAGTCAAACTCTCACTATTTGCTGATGATATGATAATTTCATAAGCGACCCCAAAAATTCTATCAAGAAACTTCACAACTCATAAACACTTCCAGTAATGTAGCAGGATATAAGATTAACTAAAAAAAGTAGCCCTCCTTTACATAGATGATAAATGGGCTGAGAAAGAAATCAAAGAAACAGCATCCTTCAAAATAGCCACAAATAGCATAAAGTATCTCAGAGTAACTCTAACCAAACTCTAACCAAACAAGTGGAAGACTTGTATGACAAGAACTTTAAATCTGTGAAGAAAGAAATTGAAGAAGACACCAGAGAGTGGAAAGATCTCCCATGCTCCCATGGGTAGGTAGAATTAACATAAATGGCAATCTTACCAAAGCAATCTACAGATTCATCGCAATGCCCATCAAAATTCTTAACAGACCTCGAAAGAACAGTATTCAGCTTCATATGGAAAAACAAAAAACCCAGGATAGCCAAAACAATTCTGTACAATAAAAGAACTTCTGGAGGCATCACAATCCCTGACTTCAAACTCTACTACAGAGCTACAGTACTGGAAACGGCCTGCTATTGGCATAAAAATAGACAGGGGGACCAATGGAACTGAATCGAAGACCCGGATATTAATCCACACACCTTCGAACAGCTGATTTTTGACAAAGAAACGATAAATATCAAATGGAAAAAAGAAAGCATATTTAACAAATGGTGCTGGTATAACTGGATATCAACATGTAGGAAGAATGAAAATAGAACCATATCTATCACCATGCACAAAACTCAAGTGCAAATGGATCAAAGACCTCAACATAAAGCCAGCCACACTGAACCTCACAGAAGAGAAAGTAGGAAGTACACTTGAATGCATTGACACAGGAGACTACTTCCTAAATACAACCCTAGTAGTATAGACACTTACAGATACAATTAATAAATGGGACCTACTGAAACTGAAAAGATTCTGTAAAGCAAAGGACATGGTCAATGAGACAAAACGGCAGCCTACAGAATGGGAAAAGATCTTCACCAACCCCACATCAGATAGAGGTCTGATCTCCAAAATATACAAAGAACTCAAGAAATTGGTCATCAAAAGAACAAATAACCCAATAAAAGAATAGAGTACAGACCTAAACAGAACTATCAACAGAGGAATCTAAAATGGCTGAAAGACACTTAAGGAAATGTTCAACATCCTTAGTCATCAGAGAAATGCAAATCAAAACAGCTCTGAGATTCCATTTTCCATCTGTAAGAATGACCAAGATCAAAAACACTGATGACAACTTATGCTGGAGAGGATGTGGGGTAAAGGGAACACTTCTGCATTGCTGGTGGGAATACAAGCTGGTATAACCCCTTTGGATGTCAGTGTGGAGATTTCTCAGAAAATTAGGAAACAACCTTCCTCCACACCCAACAATACCACTTTTGGATATATACCCAAAGGATATTCAATCATAACACAAGGACATATGACATTATTTGTCATAGCCAGAGCCTGGAAACAACCTAAATGCCCCTCGACCAAGGAATGAATTAGGAAAATGTGGTACATTTACACAATGGAGTACTACACAGCAGGGAAAAAATGACATTTTGAAATTTGCAGGTAAATGGATGTAGCTAGAAAACATCATATTGAGTGAGGTAACCGAGACCCAGAAAGACAATTATCATATGTACTCACTCATAAGTGGTTTTAAAGCATAAAGCAAAGAAAACCAGGCTACAAATCACAATCCCAGAGAACCTAGACAACAATGAGGACCCTAAGAGACATATATGGATCTAATCTACATGGGAAGTAGAAAAAGGCAAGATCTCCCGAGTAAATTGGAAATACAATAAAATCAATAAAAATAACAAAAAAGAATTTATGCAACAATATTCGTATATAGGCTTCCAACAGTGTGTGGCCTAGGCATGTCTTCCTGTTTCAAGATCTAGATTAAAGGCATGTATCTTCCCACCTCAAAAAAAAAAAAAAAAGACACGATAACCCTTGACCAAGTTTCAGCAAGCTGAATAAACAACAAGATAACAAATGCATCATGACCATGTAGGTCTTATCCCAGGAATGCAGTTATTTTGCAAGAGAAAAGTCAGTGCAAGTCACTAAAACAGAATAATGGATGCTAGATGATCATTTTAGCAGACGAAGAAAAAACATTTAACAAAATTCTATGTTCATTAGTGAGAAAAGCATCTTTAATTAGAAATGGAGAAGAACTTCCTTTTCCTAATAAAGTACATGCTTGGAAAAAAAGCACTTTCGTTAACATCACACTTTACAGGAGAAAATTAAGTGCTTCCTCTCTTTGAATAGGATGTTCACTTTGTTTTGCCACTCAGCACTGTACTGATGGTCTTAACCCACAGTTCCAAGCAGTGCAGTAAGACAAGAAAAAAGAAAGAAAATGTATAAAGATTGTATAATGGACTTAAAATTCTAAATTCATAGATGCCATGCTCAGGTACAAGGAACATGCTATTTAATTACAAAAAAGAAACAAAGATCAAGGTTATATTGTTCAATATCAATATTCTACTTAAGATCTATATTCTGGCAACACTTAGAAATTATTTAGGATATGCTATGTACAAAAAATCAGTACCATGAAATGACTTAAGAGTAAATTTAACAAAATTTGTTGAAGGCCTGTCTATTGTAGTTTAAACTAAAATTAAAAATTTAAGACTATATAAGTAAATGGGTTCAAAGACTAGATTAACTATGAAGACATTATTACTTCCAAATAAATACATATAAATTCAGTGGACTTTATCAAAAGACTTTTACAGTAGTAACATCAGTTTGTATATAAATCAATTTAATTTACTTTAATAGCTACATGTATTTCTTAATATGAACAAGGTAGTTTCCTAACCATTTTATGAAAAGCAGTCTGGTGAAATAGTGTATTATTTTGATGATTATGTGTATTAAGTTTGTGCTTAAAAAGTTACTTTCAAGAGTCAACCCTCTAAAGGGTCCCTTGACTCCTCGGCTGTGGCTTTAGAAGCTGATATGATATCCCTTAATCCATTAGATTGGTTACAATATTTTATCTTTATTGAGATTCTCATTTTTCTCCTCCTCCTAGTAGTTCTGCTGTTTCCTTGTCTCTTCAGGTTGCTGCTCAAGTCCTTACATACTATGAAACGAGATATCCTTGAGCTATGTCTTAAAAACAAAAAACCGGGAAATGCCACACCAACTCCAGTGTCGTCTGTGTGACATGACATATGTCATTATGCCAGACGGGAGCTACGTGTCCCATGGAACTAGGCTTCCTGGAGGTCAATGGCAGATAGCCTGGTATTGGCTGCCCTTGGGGCACAGACAGGATTCTCAAGTAGCTGGCTATGTGGGATATGGGCTTTGCACAATCTCTTTTATAATAATGATAATGTATACACACACACACACACACACACACACACACACACACACACACACAAGACAAGGATCATTCTCTTCAGGAACAGCTCTGGGATAAGGAAGCACAGTATGGGAATGTATAAGACTACAGCAGAACCTTTGTCATACACAGGGTGTATGATGAGCAAGGGAATAGATGGGTTAATGTTGATGGACAAAGACTGTTATATTATACTTTGAACTTTATGGATAGGCTTGCTAGATCCCAACCCCCATGATGTCTGCTGCATAAGAAGGTACTAAAAAGTATAGTTCAGCAGGTGCAGAGAACTAATTAGGTATATTTGGTCACTAGATGAAATAAAGGAAGAGGAAGGGCCATGATAGCGATAATGAGACAGAAACTTTCTATTCATAAGATGAAACCACTTGTCTGAGGTTTACAGTCCCAAGGACAAGATTTCCTCTTCTAAGGATGCTTTGTGTCTAACACCTGTTCCTGATAATGTGCTTTTTCTAAATATTGCTGATGTGACTAAAAGAAGCTTTCATACTGTGCCAAAAAAAAAAAAAGTTACTTTCCACAGGGCAGGGAACCCTGACTGCACTATGGACTGGAGAGGGAGGGGGAGAGGAGTTTGGTGGAGGGGGCAAGGGTGGGAGGAGGGGGAGGTAAATGGGAGGCTGGGAGTAGGCGGATACTTTTTTTTCCTTTTCTCAATAAAAAAAAAAACAAACAAAAAAGTTACTTCAGATTTCAGAATTTTGGATTATAAATGTTCAACTTGTACATAAAACTGCTTTACTCAAACATAGACCATGGGATCTAAATAGTAAAACTAGATTACGGACTATTTTTCCATGTAATAGTGCTACTTATCCATGTACTGGCCTTTTTATGGGTTCATGTCATGTTTGGGCTTCCCATGGTAGAGTTTCAGGGCCCAATCATACCCGTATGCTCCATTTCTCTTAAGCTTTCCCAGTTCTGATGTCTTTTTACTCCTAGCTTGTCTGTCCAACCTCGTTTCCCAATTCCTAGACTGATGTCAGCTCCCTGATTGCTGGATTTATGTCATCACCCATTTTATAGGATTGTGCGCCAAGAGCCACCCAGAAAAGCTTGGAGAATCTGTGCTGGGCTTGCTTTCTCAGATCCCTTCCCTGCATGGCAATACAGAATTTTTTTGGGATAGATGGCTTTCTCATGGTTTAGATACATGGCACTTCTTGAAAAAGACAGGAAGTTGGTGCTAGGTGTTGACTTATACTCCCAGAGAGACTATATTATATTTCTATTACTCTCATCTTGAAAACAAATCTTTTATGTGACTGCTGATAAATATTATTAAAATACCTTCTTGCTTATTTATTTTAATTATTTAATGATGGAAAATCAGTTAGGTGGGTGCTTAATACTTTGCTAAACACAAAAAACTTAAAATAGACAACCAGACACAGGTGACCAGAAAAAGAGTATAGTTTGAGAATCTTCAATCTGAAATCCAAAATGTTCCAAAATCTAAAATATTTTTAGTGTTAATCTGATATCAGATGCGGTAATAACCATACCTTATATTGTTTTATGCAAAAACAATTAAATATTCAGTAAAGTTATCTTCAAACTCTATGTAGATGGTATATTTGACAAATGAATTCTTTACATTCCTATTCCATACCCTGGGAAATCTCATTATTTATATACAGTTGTTAGTTATCAAAAAAACAAAACAAGACAACCCGAATCTGTAATACTTCTGCTCACAAACGTTCTGACTAAATGTGCTAGGGGTATACTTGAATCTCTTAACTTAGTTGTATGACTTTCAAGTTTATCCCCTTAGCAGCCTACCTCCTATTTTCTAAGAAATAAGCTTTCTCAATTAAAATATTAGATTACTTATCATAACTTACATATATGTGTTTTGTTTTCATGTATGTACTGTATGTATACCACATGCATGTCTGGGTTCTGTAGAGGTCAGAAGAAGGTGCCATACTTTCTGGAACTGGAGTTCTAGGCAGTTGTGGGCTACAATATGGATGCTGGGAACCAAACCTGCTGTTCTTCTCTAAGAACAGCAAGTGCTTTTAAAACCACTGAACTGTACTATCTCTCTGGCACCAAATTATCTCTCTAAAAACCAAGTGCATCATTTTTTCTAGAGGAAAAAAAAATGTAGGTTCACCTGTGCAGCATTTAAGACTCTTCATATCTGGTCCCAAGTCCCAAGTGTTCCCATTCTCTTGCATGTTCTGTTATACACACAGTACATTTCTTACTGTTCTTTTCCATTTCTGTCCCCTTTGTGTACTGTACAGACCTCTGTTTTCGTCACTTAGCAAACTCTCAATCAGTTCTGAACATTCAGTTCAAAGTTTCAGCGTCTCACTGGTTGGTCCTCGAATTTGCTATGTAGGTAGCTCAAGTTACCCTTGAACTTGTGCTCCTCTTGACTCAGCCTGCTGAGTGCCCCAGAACTCCCAACTTAGTTCAATGGTCTGTTAAGGGTTCCCTTTTGCCCTCTGCCTGTCCTGGATCTGAATACACTGCTTTGCAGCCTTGATTAGAGGGTAGTATTTTTGAGGACACTGGGTTTACCTTGTTTGTATATATGAATCCTGATCTGAAAATGTCCTGGCAAGTAGTAGGGGCCCCATGAATTGCTAAATGAATGATGAAGTAAAGGGATAGGTCAAAAGGGCTTGGCTAATTTAGGCTAAAGGGTTTTGAAAGTCACGGGGATTGCGGCTAGACCTAGGAAGACAGCAAAGAAGTGGGGAAAGGGCACTTAGAGGATGAGGATGATTATTGTCCTAGGGGATGGAAGAATAAAGTCCAAGAATGAGAGCAGAGATAGTGAGGAGGTCAGCTGGGCCGTAGCTGACTGTTGCAATAGTTGACCTTGTAACTGTGCTGACTGTATTTCTCAAGTCCCTCTTTTGGCTCCCGGAGGGCAGGGTACTTTGTGCTCTCCGTTGTATGCCCTTCACAGTTGATGCATATCTCCATAGTCACCGTTCATACTATCTTCTGGTTACTCGGAAAAAATTCCGTGTAAGGGTGTTTTGCTTGCACGTATGTCTCTGCACCATTGACATATCCGGTGTCCGTAGATGACAGAAAAAATGTGTCAGATTCCCTGAACCTGAAGCTATAGCTGGCTTTAAGCTACCACATGGGTGTTTGGGAACTGAACCTGGGTCTTCAGTGGCTGGGATCACTGAGCCATCTCTCCAGTCCCTACCTTTTATTTATTTACTTATTTGTTAAAACCGAGACAAGTTCTCCTAAATGGCTGAGCCTGGCCTGGAACTTGCTATGTGGCCCAAGCTGGCTTCAAACTCACAGTCCTCCCGCCTTAGTGGCCAGACTGCTGAGATGATAGGGGGTGTGAACAGGCCTGTCTGGCCTTCTAGCTCCCACTCTGTTCTGCATTATCATATCTGTGCACCGGCGCAGCTCCCCATGCACACAGCCGCCTTCTCCAGGCACATAAGATAGGGCATAAGGTCTTCCTGACCTTTGCATCTTTTAAGACACAGAGTAGTACAGTTCCTAGCAAATACTGGATACACAGAGAGTATTTTTATCTACCATTTGTTGATCTGATTGCAGAAGACCACAAGGATATTTGTGCGCAATTGTGTATTGTGACACAAAACTTATATATGCCTTCATACTGTGTGGTCTATTTTTGGCAATTTTCATTAAAATGATATCTCATTGTACCTGAATACTGTCATTTCAATTTTCTTCTTTGTTCCTTCTTGGATGACTCATATCTCTTATACCAGAAGAATATGACAGAAGGGATTCACAAAGGGTTTGGACAGATTTCTGAATGACAGAGTCATAAATGTCTGGGTATAAGAAGTGTGGAACACGCAAAAGGGAAGTAAGAACTGGCATTTCTGAAATGTCTGTTCCATGCCACGGACTGTGTCTCAGGCACTTGACACACATCGCATCTCATTTCATCTTGCAGGATGAATCCATAGAAAGACAGAACATCTCGATCCATAAGGCTAAACCTGCATCTGTTCTTGCGCATAGCTTCTCCAGGTACCAAAGGCAATATTTGTGTTTATTAAAATTTTATCACTCTTTTAATACAGATGAATCATTAGATTTGCTTTTGTTTCTGAGGAACACAACACTCACTCTCAATTCAGACTTCTACAGCTTATGGCTGCTTTCTGACATAACCTGATCAGTTTTTAGAGTCCCGGTGCTCTAAATTACAATGCAATCTGAGATATTCCCACAGCAATAACAGCAATTACATTTGTTCACAGTACTTACCTTTATATTTCATTAAGCTTCCAAATACTGAATAAAGGTAAGTCAAGTCAAGAAAAGAGACTTCCATTAACCCTGACACTAGCAAATTGTCTCAAATTACAGCATGCCTTCTATTTGTATTCTAGACATATTGAGTGGTTTCTCTGAGTTACATATTATACCTCACCTATGGTTAGAAGAAAATTGGAAGCAAATTAGTTTAAGTTACTTCTAATTTAAAAAAAAAATAATAGTGACTTCATAAAGCATAATGCTCTCAAGTATACAGCAATACATTTGGCAGAAATCATAACATTACAAGCAAAGCACTATCCCTCATCTTTGGGAAATAGCTGGAGAAGGAGGGCTTCACAGACTGCTCTGTTATTTTAAGCTACACAGTCTAAGGTTTGTGGCTACATCCTCATCAGTGATAACGTGCTCTCTGCCAGGGGGAGAAGTAGGTGGGAATCGATAGGGTACATAGATGGCATACACCTTTGAATTACTGATTATTAGCACACCCACAGGTCCCAGACAGCTTTTATTGCTTGTTTTGAGAAAACTCAAACAGACATCTCTTCTTTGTAAAGGCCATCTCATATAACTAGAGAAAATGGCAACAGTTCAGCTGACATGTTTCACAGTTCGGATGGTCCAGCTCCAATCTCTGTACCTGGAATTGCTGGAAACCCACCAGACTTGACTTTCTTAGTGACTATAGTTCCTGAACTCTATATTAGTCAAAGACAATTGAGAGAACAGGATGGCCACCAAAGAATATGTGTCACATCTCACCTATGGCACCCCTAAAATCAGACCAAAACTTAGCTTTTATATTTAAAAATGAGCCCCTTCCCTCTTGAGGCTAGGGGCTGAAAATATGCACATATTCCAAAGAGTTCTTTGTGGAACAGGTGACCCCTTCCCACAGTCTCTGTAATTAATTGAGAAATTAAAGTTGGTTGGCCTTTGAGAGCTTTTGTTTAAAAAAAAGGCAGAAGGTCTTGGCTATTTTGGAACAAGAGTCCACTATACTGCCAAACAGTGTGTTATTGTTGTTGAAGTGTCTCTCAACAGAACGGTATTGAGTCGTGAGGACGTGATTTTGATTAGGTGGAATGACTCAGCTCTTCCCCTTAAAGAAGAGAGGACTTGTCAGAGCCTTACTTACCTCATGATCTGGGATCTCAGAGGATAGTGTTTTCCCTAGGATGACCCCGGTCAAGTATGTCCAGCAACGAGCCGTATTGGCAAGGTTATAGCCTCCTGTCTCCATCAAGAATTGTGAAGTTAGGAAAGAATAGCCACAAAACAGGAGAAGGAAGAGGGTAAGGAAGGAGAGAAAACTGTTTTAATAAAAGGTCTAAAAAGACAACTCCAACTTGCAGAATCTTCCTTAAGCATCCCTTAATGGTATTTGTAAACCACCTAGTGGGTAGACTTTAGCGGACTAGCCAGATCATGCACAGAGTAGAACTCATAATTTCAAGGGTAACACAGATTAAAGCGGCTCTTATCTCGCAGCAATAATGCACCTGAGAAAGGCAAGCACCTCAGTTCCACCAAGAGACGTCAGGGAGACCGAGAACCCTGGAACCCAGATGTCTGGAGGTAACCTACCCAATGTGATGGTTTCTCAGATGAATTTTGCAACAATTCTATAAAGTGACTGCTGGCTGTGATTTGTATTTTAAAGCTATTGGCAGATCTAGTCCTAAAGGCATCCAGGAAAAAGGAAAGGAAAGTGCTGACAGAAACAGACTTCCTTCTTTAAATATCAGTGGTCCTTTTCACCACAAAATGCAAGCCTGGTGGCAGAGATCAAAGAAAGTGAGCCGAGGAAGGGACTGATGATTGACACCCTGACCCGCCGCGTCAGGTCCTGTCACAGTCACCCAGCAGCCATATCACACTGGTTAATAATCAGCATATTTTTGTGCTGAATGGATGTGCTTTGCCATGCAAGCATTAACACGCTGGCCTTCAGCTGAATTCCAAGAGTCTAAGGGTAAAATGGAATATTTCCTAACCTCGGAGCAGACCACAGGAAATAAAATCAGCTCTATTTTAGGTAGGGTGCCCATATACATTATCATCCAAAAGGATGCACTTTGAAGCGCAATAGAGGACACTAGTCATTGTCACAACGGGCTAACATATATAAACTGGGACCTGCTGTTACCCTTTTCTTGAGCTTTCCTACTATTTCAAAAGTTAGGGAGGCTAGGGTTTCTGGAGCATGTCCTTCAGGCCTCAGTGGGACTGGTCTGAGGAAGCTTAAGAATGCAGCCATCTCTGGTAATTGTCTATGTGTTAAGAGCAGAGAATTTCAGCTGTACGGTTTAGATATTACTTTAAACATTCCTGGCATGGGAAATTAGTCTGCAAGGCAGACCTATTTGGCATAGTTATTAATTTAAAAAAGAATAACTATAGGTTTTATTTAAGGAGTATGTTATCTCTAGTATACACATGATATGACTTATCTGCAAACACACCACTCATGCGCAGGCATTTTCAGGAATACACATATTGCATAAGAAGAGTTATACTTACATATTCAAGAGCCAAGCTTTCGGTTAAAAATGCAAAAGGATTTGAGCTAATGGTAAGACTCTTCAAGAGAAGGCTGTAGCCTCAGACAAAAGTTAAATTCTTCCAGGTGTCTGTTGGAGAAAGGTCTTTCCCCCCAGCTGGACCTGTATCATAATCTCTATCCTTAGTGTTTATGGAAAGTAATATGCCATGTAATGCTTATCAATTTTATCTTTTTCTGGAGGTGAAGTTAATAAGCTTCTTGCCAGCTTTTCATAAGAGAGCGTCTCTTGTAATCAGTTTTAATTTTGATCCCTCTGAGGTTTGAAGACTCCGAAGGACCAGGTTGCTTTATTTGTGCTGTATGCTCACTTGTTGACCTAAGGCCTGCCCAGAGTTTACCTGGATTTGGAGTTTACAAGAGGGTGATAAAACTATTAGCTTGGTCATCATCTATGCATTTAATTTCTTTACAAAAATTTTATGTGCATGAGTATTTTGCTTCCATGTATGTACATATACCATGTATATGCTGGGTGCCCACAGGGGCCAGATGAGGGTATTAGATACCCTGTAACTGGAGTTACGAAGGGTTGAGCTGCCATTTGGGGGCCAGGAACCAAACCTTGGCTCTTTGCCAAGAGCAGCAAGAGTCTGTAACCACTGAGAAATCTCTCTAGCCTACATATATGTACTCTTTTGGTACATTTTTGAGATAAGGTCTTGTGTAATCCACGATAGCTCATAACTCCCAATCCTCTTGATTCTATTTCCCAAGTACTGTGATTATACACATGTGCCACTATGCCTGGTGACATATATGTGCATTTTAATCTCAATCCACTTGACCATGTTTAAATACACCAATTTATTGATCCAATGAAATAAATATTGTGGCTGGTGAAGAGACAGAAGATCTCATCCTAAAGCCTCTATAAAGATGACTGAGGTTGGGCACGGTTCCAAACACATCAATGCTTCTATCCAACAGACCTAGCATTCTGTTAGTTAAAGAATGTTAACATCAGTAAGGGGTGCAAGAATGCTCAAGAGACTATGGTTCTCTCAAGTTTGCTTCCTTATAACAAAATCATGCTTTAGGGAAAACGAGTAATTCTTGACTTCATCTTAGATATTCAATTAATTCATGTATTTACTATTCATGAATGAGTAGAGATAGAATTTCATTGATGTTTCTGAAACAGAATGGGTAAGAAGAGAATAATGGCTTCTCTGACAGAAGAGGGTTCACAGTCTTCGGGGACTGACATCCTCTAATTTCTTCTTCCTTTTGGTTTTGGTTTTGTTGTTTCGGTTTTTTTATTTTTCCAAGACAGGGTTTCTCTGTGTAGCACTGGCTATACTGACGCTTACTCTTTAGACCAGGCTGGCCTCAAACTCACAGAAATCAGCCTGCCTGTCTCTGCTTCCCAAGTGCTGGGATTAAAGGTGTGCGCCATTACTGTCTGGCATCTTCTTTCTTATTCCATACTCAGGTTTGAACACAGTCTTGTGTATGCTAAGCAAATGTTCTAATCTTAACCTTTATTTCCAAATTAAAACAAACTTCAGAGTGCCTAGGTGTCAAAGCACATGGCAAGCTGACTAGGGATGGGCCAGAGTCTATGCTCAACTGGGGAAGTAATCGATTTCATAGACCTAGGCTTCTGGGCCATAGGCAGGTTAGTACTATCCAATCCAAAAAATCGACTTATCGTCTATGTTAATAAGTGTGGAGGAGGACTGACAAGCTCTCTTGGTGACTTTCCATTGTACTCACCTCCTCCTAAAATCAGAGTTGCCAACTGCCACTCAAGCACATACTTCAGACACTTGCCGATCCCCACTGGCGTCATGTTAAAGGAGCACATTGGGTCCCCAGCGATGGTATCTGCACCCAGCTGTAAAACCACTGCTTTAGGATTGAAGGCCTGGTACACTTCCTTTAGTACACTGGGAAGAGGAAGGACACAAATTGTCAGAAAAAGATCCGCTTTAGTTAGGGCTATGCAGTGGTAGTGAAGTGTGTTGGAGGGATAGTTGAATTATCCATCACATCAAACTGTCAACCTTAAAGGGTGAGCCTGGCTGTATGTGTGTTATACTTTAATAAACCTGACTTAGAATGACAATTCCTCTACTTCCACCATCACCAATGACCAAATTTGCCCTTTTTATTTCAGAACTTAGACTTCACTGAACACTTCATATATATCTAGTTAACTCTCATAGCCATGGGGCATAGTATACACATTTATTCCATTTTATAATTAGAGTAATAAAACATATACATTGAATAGTCATGAAGGTTTCCTTCTGATAATGTCAGACAGCAATCACACCTGGAGTTTATCACCTAATTATCAGTGGGGGCAAGAAGCCTTGAGAGCATAGATGGTATCAACTTACTTTTCATTCTGCAAAGGACTTGAGGCCTCTGAAATACGGCCCTCCCCAGTGCATATGCATTCACAGTATTATAAGGAGAACAGTATCAACTGATCAAAAACTACAATTTGAAAGTACCCCAAAGAACAAGTTGTGGTGGGTAATAGTGTAATTTTGAGTAGAATCAATGCTATCACATCAGCCTAACTGCTATTTGCCGAGGGCATGCAGCCTTACAGATGAAAAGGGAAATGTCAGTGTGACAGGTAACCTTAGTCAGGCTTCCAATATTATCATTAATTGAACACTGACAATGTCCAGAATGCATTCCGAGGAATTATAAGGTCCTTGCTCTCAAGGGGCTTACAATCTACTTTCCAGACAAAACATAGTCCAGTCCTCAAGGGCCGGAGTGACTCTTACAGAGACATATAAACAAGTGCAAATTAACAGACTTCAGAGTTGAGAAAATACAGAGTCAAAAAGTGATCAAAAATGTTGAAGTTAATGACCCTTTCATAATCAACATGTCAAATTATACCAGTGCAGAAAAACAGAAAAATCCCAGATCCTCCTGAGATGGCAAAAGGAATTCAGGAACATAAAACACTGCCCTCCCCAATCCATATGTAACCAGGGAGTAAAATGATGGTCACAGAGGCATTCTTTGACTTAAAGGACTATTTTGTTTTGATTTCTCATCACACAGATGAATGCAGAGTGATTGTAAAGATTATAAGAATATTACAAAATTTATGACATATGATCCTTAATGCAAGGATTCTTTGGTCTATTCTCTCTTTCATGTGCTTATCTCATGGGTGCAGAGGGAAGATAAGCCACCTGAAGAGTTTGAGCGACATTTATTGAGCATCTACACAAACAGAGCACCCCATTAACTGTTGCTGGGAGACACAGCGGAAGGCGTGATGTCTGTTTTAAAAAGGTTTCTAGCAGGGGAGGGCTACCATTCTTTCCACTCCTTCCTTTCACTTAGCACACACTTACTGAGTACCCACTAGGTGCCCAGAATGGCACCTGGAGTCCCAGCTGCTCCAGGAGTCAAGAGGAATCTGGCATGGTCTGTATCATCATGTAGCTCATAAGAGGGGATTACATAAACTCTGACAATAAATAATTAAAATGCAATGATAAATGAAGTATCAGAGTTTTGGCACAAGGGAGAGAGAAGTGAGCTTCTCCAGGTGAGGCTGGAAAAGGCTCTACAGGGGCTATAATGGCTCTTTAGGTCCTGAAAGATGAGACGCACCACACATGAGCCAACTCTCAAGATGGCTAGGAGGAAACAGTGATAATAATTCCTGGTGAAGATGTGGAGACTAAATCACACATATCTTGTTAGTGGGAATGTAAAGTGGTATAGCCACTCTGGAAAATAATTTAGCAGTTCCTGTCAAAACTAAAAATAGACTTGCCATATGAGCTAGCAATTGCACTCTTGGGCAATTTATTCCAGAAAGTTAAGGCTGATTTTCATGTAGGAACTTGTATATGGATGTGTGTAGCATCTTTACACAAAATAGCTTTAACTGGAAAAAATCCAAACGTACTTTTTTAATAGGCAAATGGTTAAACAAACCAGCATCCATAGCAGTGGAATACTGTTCATCAATATGATAAACAAACCATTATTATATGCAAAGAGTTTGGGAGGATTACAAGGAAAGTACGCTGAGTACATAAGGCCAATCTAATATATATATATATATAATATATATATATATATACACACATACACTGTGTGATTCCATTCATAAATGTTGTAAAACCCTAACTACAGAGGGATGAGATCAGTCACTACCAGGAGTTATAGATGGCTATGACAGGACAGGGGTAGGATGACATAATCATGTGATGGCATAGTTCTGTATTTTGATTATAGTTGTCATGTGAGGCTTCAGATACGATAAAATTTCATAGACACACATACATGAATGTATGCATAATTGGTGGAGTGTGAATGAAATCAATAAACTATACCAAAATAATTTCTTCATTTTGATGATGTACTGTAACTGTGTGCAAGTTGTCACACCAGGGAAAGCTGGAGGAAAGTGCCCAGGACTTCCCTTCACAATCTCCTGTGAATGTGTGATTATTTTGAAATAAATGTTTTGTTAAAGCCAGTGAGGTAGCCCAGTGGGTATAGACGTTTGCAGCCAAGCCTGAGGACCTGAGTTCAATCCCCAGTTCCCACATAGTAGAACAGAACCAACTCCTGAAAGTTGTCCTCTGACCTCTATAAGCAGTTATGGCACATGTGTGCTCCCCCAATACCATAAATAAATTTAATTAAAAAATTTAAAAATCTTTTTAAGGCATGGAAGGTAGCAGATATAAGACCTGAATTTGATCTCCAGAAATGATCAAACAAAAAGCACAGCAGAAAAAGGAAGTTGAAGGCTGGTGGGATAAAGTTAGGGGAGTTGGCTGCAGAATGGTTCTGGAGGGCACGAAGAGGAGAGGAGTTCGGAGAAGAGAATCTATGTGTCATACAGGCTACAAACTGCGAGTGGAGGTACAGAAAGTCAGAAATAAGTGAGCCTGGCTTTTTATGTAAAGCGTGTGCAATGTCGCAAACATTATGTGCGTGCATGTACACAGGCAATGTGCATGCTGTGTGTGTTGGTGGCACAATTAGAAGTTCATCTTAGAGATAAGTGAACTCTAGTGTGGAATACACTGAAGGCTGATTTTACAACCATCCACAGGCCACGGCCACAAGAAAGACAGGGACTTGAAAGGAACTTCCATGCCAGAATTAATAGAGCAACATGGAGCGATACCCAAGAAAAGAAGATACCTATAATGTTCATGACTGGTAATTAGGAGAGAGGAAGGAAAAGAAGGGAGGTGTTTCTGGAACAGTTGTCTTCCTTAGAGCTGTAGGGAAAATGAGTCTTCAGGGAGTTCAGATGAAACGGGCTCTGGATGGGTAAAGAAAACAGTAATCAGAAGCTTTGAAAAAGGGAAGGCATTTCGTTCACTGAACACACCTCAGTTTACGGAAAGCTGAATGGTGGACATGGAAAACTAGGCAGCTTTTCATCTGATCTGACGGTCAAATGGGAGCCCTGGAGATCTATAAGTACTGATCTTGCTAAAAGGTGTACTGATTTTTGATGTTGCATGTAAGAACAAAATCACAAAGCCTAGCAGCAGAGGGAATGGCACAAGGGACATGGAAGCTCTCTAGGCAAGACCAGGTCAATCTGGAAAAACTTGAGAGGGGTAGGCAGATGGCTAGGGGTGAGGGGGACTGTGAATGGGGCTATGTGGACAAATTACCATTTCCAAGTTCATACCCCTCCTCTCATTGCTTTTCTTTTGGTGTGGGACACACACACAAACACACACACACACACACACACACACACACACACACACACACACACACACACACACACTGTTTGTTTGGTTTGGTTTTTTGAGATATGGTCTCACTATGTAGCCCAGGCTGGTCTGGGAACTTCCTGCTTTAGCTTCCCGAGCACTGAAATTATAGGCTTGTGCCAGTATGCCTGCCCTCATATCTCCACTTTGAAGTCAATATCATTTGCTTATATTAAACAAATACTATTAAAATTCTTGTCTATAGACCTATGAAATAGTCTTTCACCTCCCTTGAGGCTTTTAGCTTCTGCTTCATTTTTTTTTTTTTTTTTACTTTTTTCTTTCCTTGTCATTATTCTCTGGGGTTCAGGATTTGTTCACTCACTTAAACCCAGAGTCAAGTACCTATTATTTCCTATACTAGTGATAACATATACTTCTAACCCTAATACACAGGAGACTGAAGCAAGAGAATTGCCCAATATTTCAGGCCAACCTGGGCTACCAGTGAATTAGCAGGTTAGCTGCAACTTCACAGTGAGACCCCTGTCTCCCAAAACCAAAGGGGGTAAAAAGAAGACAGGCAAAGACCTAAACCTGATGGTGTTGATGGTTCAGTAGGGGTAGAAGACAGGAAAGTTCAAAACACTGCTAAGTGCTATAATGTTTGTCCGTCCGTCCGTTCATCCAACAAATGAATGCTAATTGAATGCTTACTATATGCTAGGCAGGTACAAGGTTGGCAATGGGTTTACAGAATTGAAAAAAAAAAGACAAAACCTACCTCACTGTCTCCAAGGACTGTCCTAATTCTCTGACATTATCTTTCATTCTGGTTTCAACAAGAGTGGTGTCTGTCTGCACTGCACTTCAGTTATTCCTAAGCATGGCCACTTTTGGAGGTTTGAAAAGCAAATGCCTGGAACGATTTTACATTTAAGACGCTGAACGACTTTCGCTGCTACAGTTTTTTGTCTTCCCATGTCCTTATTGTGCTTGCTTTCCCTCGTCCTCCCTACTTTCCCTCCTCTCTCCTCCTCCTTCTCCTCCTTCTTCCTCTCTCTCTCTCTGTGTCTCTCTCTCTGTCTCTCTCTGTCTCTCTCTGTCTCTCTCTCTGTCTCTCTCTGTCTCTGTCTCTGTCTCTGTCTCTCTCTCTCTCTGTTTTTCAAAACATGGTTTCTCTGTGTAACAGCCTTCTCTGTCCTGGAACT